CGACAAGACACATACGGCAGTTACCGGCGATCATAAGCTTCCTATATCACATTGTCAGTCGTCGCGCCCCCGTGTCGGCACAGGTCTGCTATCGGTCAAGGACGTACTCGTGGTAGCAGTATCTAGATACAAATGGTTAGTAACAATGGCGCTTGCGGTGTTATGGGCTCACGTACCTTGGGATGGTGACACCGGCCTTTTCGCATGCTTGGATCAGGGCGGAACCAGCTACACGTCGAGTTAGTCACTCCCCTGGTCTCCGGAGCCACTAGTCGCCCATACCTTCTATTGACACCTTCTTTCCATCTGTTCCTTCAGTTAGCAAAGTGATTCGGCATATCGGCAATTGGCTCTGTTCTCACCAATTGTGAGCTCAACCTCGGCCTTCCGGGGGGCGGTAGTCGAGAGGCAACGGCCGGCGACAGTGGCCTGCCGACCGGCGCGCCACGCTGAACGCCCAAGAGCCTGCCGCAACATGATGAAGTCCTCACTGGGCGTGTATGAGAGGAGTCGTGCGTATAGTCGGGCAGCAAGTGGCGGCAATCAAGGCCCTTTCTGTAGTGTCGTTGACGTTGACCTTTCCAAAAGATGGAGGCTTTGGTCGATGCCAAAAGTGGCGCTCACGGCTCCCATATATGAGGCATCTCATTGGTTCATCTGCCCCGAATGCCGTTAGCTTTAATGACGTTAGTCAGCAGGAAATTTTGGGAAGCTCTACAAAACTCCAAAGCTTGCAGCCCTTTCTGCTGGTTCTTCTCTTCTTTTCTTTCTCTATTTAAATTGTACTGGGCACTTATTGTAGGTGGACTTGGGCTGTAATGTTTCGCATTGCAGCTTTCTACCGAGTTCATCTCTATCTTGTGCTCTAGATGACGCAAAAGGCTCCGTTATGGGAACACGCGAGGGTCTACTCGATGAGCACTGTTTCTTACCGCCGGTAGCCACATTCTACCTCCTCCATTCCATATCGATACTCAGGAGCGTAGACATATATCTTGCTGTAAATCATGCCGCAAGACCGTTGAGCTAGCTCATGCGGTAACATGGCTTCAGAAGGGTTTACCAGGCGATGCTTTAGCGTCTTCCGTGCCTGCTTCCCTGTAGCTTCGCGACTTGCAATAGTGAAATGAAGCTCCTTCCCATGGAGACTCAACTGTTGCTACGAGCCATCACTCTCGGTAGCAACTCCGCAGGCACCGTCTTTGAATTTGAATGGTTGGCATGACTGTTTGAAGAGCCTGGGTTTCTTGTTGACCCGCGAAGCAACCGAATTGATGTCCATCACATGGTCAAAGAGCCACTGTCTTGGGCGATGCTCTGTTGCTGACTGCTTCCTTTTCGGTCCAAACCAGCGGCGGCTGTTGATTGGAAACATGTGCTAAGCGTCGACGTGTATTGTATTTCCAGGCGTGGGAATGTTGCAGTGAACGGTGGTGGAGGAGCCAAGGCTGACGGTATATCTGGAGCGGATGGCAACCCTTCCAGAATGAGCATGATATGGAAGGTTACCTCCTCTTGCCCTTTGCTGTGGTGTCCGCGTCTTCTCTCTCTGCCGCTCTCGGGTAAATCATCTTCTGGTTCCAGTAGACAAATGCTTCTTTGCTAGACCTTCCTCAGGCAACAAAAGCTCCCCTTCCTCGCTCACACCCCTCTTCATCTTGTCATGATCTAACTAAGACATCTCGACATCGTCGTCCCGAGCGACCTCCCGCTCCTCGGGCCTCTTTCCAATGTTGTCGAGCCTCGCCTGTTCCCTCTGCTGCATCTGTAGCAACTCCGCCTTTCTCGTTTCCATCAGTGCCGAATACCCCTCCAAATTCTGCGTCGATTGCTCTACGGCGTTTAGAAGCTCGGCAGCCACAGCCTCTCGTTGTGACATTTGCTCCGGAAACTTGATCTCTATATCTGCCAGGTTCACCCTAGCCAGGCTCTTGCCAGGCGGAGCATCAGCCGCGATGTTGGCCATCATGTCGTCTACCTCCTTCTCTGTCATGCTGGGTCTCGGTCCTGCTGGAGGGCCGTGGATAGCTTCATAGGTTCGCCCTTCTTGACGAATGCGGGCCATCTCCCGCTCAGTCATGTAGATGATGTTCTCTGTCACTCCTTTGCGACGACCTTCGGCAGCGGCGAGTATGCGTTGTAGTTTCTCTGCTCTGTCGCGGGCAGGCTCTATGGGTTGGGTGATGTCAATTTCTAGAGGTACGAATATGCTTGGCGCTATATTGGTCATTCTTGGTATCTTCTCTTCGACCCCCGCTGGCTGCGGTGAGTTGTTGGTGGTTGTAGGCTGGGAGCTCAGGTCCAAGCCTGTCACTGGCAGAGCAGGCCGGTCCATCTTGGAATTTTGAGATAGCAGGTATGGCGGCGAACAGAACTTTGTTAAGCAGACATACTGTCGTATTCCACCAAAGAGAACGGTACTTAGTATGAAAAATGAGTCTTGGTAACAGCCGGCTGCCAAGTCCTTGGAAAGAGCAAGTCGTTGTGTTTTCTCAAAACTGATGATACGGGAAGTTTCGAATGTGATGCGTGTCTGGGGACCGTCGTTTGCAGGTTGTAAGCCCCACCAACAGTTGCTTCCTCAACCCTTCACATAACCTGCAGTACAATGATAGATTGCGAAATGGACAGTGTCCAGACTTTTGGGGTTGAGAGTGACATGTAGGGTGTACTAAGCTGTGATATTCTGGGTTGTAGGTGAGACTTGTCCACGTCTGCCACTCATACGTTGTAGCGCCTTCTTCACCTGTAACCCCAGTTCTGAGGCTTTCCCATCATTTCACATATCCATATGTGCTCGAGCAAATGCTTCCCCGGCTTACGAGTAATTTATTACGTATTCACGCTATAGCTTCGGATGTACATATTAAAGTGTGCTTGTTAAATGCCACTCTACGTCTGAAAGACTTTCAGTAAAGTCCCTGCCATGTGTAAGCAGCAGCACATAGAATCTCCGACATGCAGCCGTGCCTTCTCCATGCAGACGAAGCGTCGCCCTAACCCCAGTCCGTTATGTTATAATTATGGAGGTGGGTGTCTCTTATAGAGAGCACCATGATCCATACCATCATAGCTGCTCGCGCTTGCCATAGCTGGATGTTCCTGCATATGTGACAGGGATACTGACTCCAAATAGTGACACGATTCCGTGCCAGTCACAGACAGCAAAGCACGTCCAGGCATCGTCTGGTCATGCCACTGTCTGATCCGACCCATGTAGTATGCTTGCCATGAAACTCATCCTGACTAGCATAAACTATCAGGATAACAGCTTTGAGTGGTATTCTGGTATGCACACTGCACAGGTATGCTTTACCATGCCCCAGAGATCCTAAACGGTCCGCAGCAGGCTTTCCCATACACCCGAGGTTCTAGCCTCAGATGTCTTACCTTTCTGGCAAGACCTTCCTCGCATATTCCAGTGCAAGCGCCAGGGCACCACGGACATGGTTCTCTAGCCTTCGATCCTTCTTCCTACGCATCCATATCAGCACCAAAGCTAGTATGAGCGCATCGACGGCAAGGTGCTTGACGATGACACCAAAGATCCAGCCGAGCCAAGACCCGAAACTCCTTTCCCGTCTTATTCGCCATTCCCGTTGACTGGTGATATGTTCCCTCAAGGCTGCAATCTCGGCAGAGAGCCTCACTATCGCCCCTTCCATTTTCTTAGACCACTTGTCCCCATGCTTCACATATTGCTCTCCAATATCTGGCTCGTCCTCTTCCTCATCTTCGTCGTCCATCTCTCCTAACCTCCTTACGCTCTCCTTATCCTCCTCGCTCATAGGACTCAACACCTTCATTGGTCCTTCACTCCCACTCCTCGGCTGCTCAAATCTCCTCACCCCGGAACTCCCGCTCCCGCTCTTTGAACTGCCCTCATTTCCTTTTATCTGGTTCCACACAAACTCTAGCTCGGCGACCAACTCCATCGCCGAGGGCGTAGTCGCATACCGGTGTATTGTCTCTATCAACGCCTCGATGTACCGCCTCTTGGCTTCCGTCCTGGTCAGTCCACGTTGGGAGTTCCAAGCGTCCCATTTGTCTTGTTCGCGGCGCAAGTCATCCCCCGATAAGCCGGAGGAGGCAGAAGTGGGTCGCTCCATGACGCCGTCGACATCGCCCTCCATTGCCTGTTTGTAGAGCCCATAGAGACGCATTCGGTCGGCTGGTGGAGGACGGGTCGCCCCGGTTTTGGGGATCTTCTTGACGGTGTTCAGGGCGTGCACAAACACGCGATCTGAGGAGGGAGGAAGAGGTGTTAGTCTAGGCGCATTTGCAGAGGGGACAGGCATGACGGCGCAGGGAAGCTAGAAAGTGAAGCGTACCGACCGAGTCCGACATCTTCACGGTATGTGTCTATGTCCTGTTTTCACCAACTACGTCTGATGTCGTGCGTATACTAAGGAGAAGAGTGTGTGGTGAATTAACGGAGCGCAATCGTGACCACAAAAGGTAAACCGGAGCTCGTCGCGAAAGCTTGTGATAGGGAGGGATGGCCTGGCGCGTTGTCCAACGTCTCCCCTGATAAACACAGGACCCCAGAACCAGTACTAGATCTCACGAATTCAGAAGGTAGAGAAGCCCGCAACGAGACCAAACGAACATCGTGAGCATAAGAGACATGTATCATGCGTTGTAAGCCCCCAGATGCAACTCCCCAGGTTTGTCTCCCCCGGATTCAGACCTGGGGTCGTGGGCGGTTTTGCCTCGGCGCAACGCGAGCTCCAGACCCCACTCATTTTGTCTTGCGGGCAATGACGGTTGCACTACGCGCAAACCCCCCTGGAAGTGTCGGCGATCAAGTGATAGTTCAAAAATGGCCGTTGAAGCACGAATAAGAGACACGTAAAACCATGGGTATGCACATCAAGTTCAGTCAGGAGCGCTTTCCTGCTATGAACAGCTTAAGTGGTGTACCTGCGTCTTGGTCCTTGCTCGACCTATGGTCTTAGCTGGTCTATAGCAAGAATAAACTGAGTCGTTTTGCAACCAAAGTCGTGATGTCCGAGTGGTTTAAGGAGTAGGACTTGAATCTTGAACAATTCGCTATCCTATGGGTTCGCCCGCGTAGGTTCGAACCCTGCTCACGACGGTTACTTTTTCCTTTTTGGAGTTGGTTTTGGGTGCCGCAAAGTATTTATGCACCCCCCACCCCTTTTTAACCGCCTACCTATCCTGCAAAATGGTTTGTGCACACGGCGAGACCGACCTTGAATATATATTTTATATATTAGATGTCTGTTTATGCCTATATCTATGGATGTCTGTGTATATCTATGTATGTCTGTGTATGTCTATGTATATCTGTATATATCTGTGTATGTCCATGTATATCTATGTATATCTATATATATCTATGTATGTCTATATATGTCTGTGTATGTCTGTGTATGTCTATGTATGTCTGTGTAATGTCTGTGTATATCTGTGTATTAGCCCCTGCGCAAACCATTTTGCGGAGCACGTGCCGCTCTACCTCCTTGAACATGTTATTATGGGGCTGCAGGGAGCTATACTAGACAAATTCACAGCTTCAGAGCTTTTTATCTTACCTTCATGTCCTGCTGTCGAGGGAGATATTGGACCTGTGGAGGCCATGGGCCTCTTATGTGCGGGTAGGATGGCTATGCGTAAGTGGCCCCTGAACTCTGAACTGTCTATCAGCTGTGAAGAATTTTGCCACGGCACCTGAGATAATTACTCAGTCTTGCAGGCAGCATATAAGACACGTGTTTGAACCGGTTTCTGGGCGCCATATGAGCATATATACCGTAGGAGCGCGTTAAGGTAGAGTATGTAGCACACCCCGCGTCATAATGTCCTAACTAGGTGTGGCACGAGTGTTCGCTTTAAGTGGTATTCCCTAGCGCTAGCATATCTTCCACTATCAGTGTCTTGACCATCTTGATCGCTTCAGCTACATGGCCATGCAAAGGTCTTGGCTACCAACCTGCGACCTGGACTCTTCCACCTTCATCTTCAAAACGCGATTCTATGGGCTTGCCGGACTTCCTGTCCTTGCGGGTCTATCTTGTGCCTGCTCAACCGCTTGGGCCTGCCGAGCCTCCTCTGCCTGTTGAGCTTCCTGTGCCTGCATAAACTCCTTTTTCTTCGTGATATACACCGACAGCAGCTTTTTATTGTCGATGGCACATTGAGCCGCTTTCTCTCCAGCCTCTTTCTTCGACGGCGCGGTACCCCAGCCAATCAACTTGTTGGTTTCGCCCCAACCATCAAGATAGCAGTTGATGGTGTACATGATGGCCCTCGTGTGCCGGTCCCTCTGCGTCTTTTTCATTGGCGCGTCCTCATATCTGATCTTGACGCCTTTGACCACAATCAAACTCGCCAGTCGAGATTTTGCTGCAAGCTCCATTTGTTTCGCAACGGTTTTCGGGAGATCTCGAATCTCCTTTGCCAGTGTGCCGGCCCAGAGGGCCTTGAGCCAGCTCGCGACTCGGTTGAAACCCTCCTCTGGATCAGACAGCACGATGGCCGCGACATATGCCTCGAATATGTCGGCGATTACCTTTGTGCGTTCCTTGTCCGTCACCTTGGTCCCTCCTGGCCGGCCGCCCAGCCCAAACTCGGTAGGGAAGTTGGCTCGCTTGTCGAAACCGTACCGCAACGAGTAATCGGCCAGTGTAGTATTTTTGAGGAGCCGCTCCCGTAATTGCGCCATCTTGCCCGGTGGTAGGTTCCAGAAGGTGGAGTAGATGAACCCAGACGAGATCACCATAATGTAGGAATCGCCCAGCCACTCTAGTCGTTCATAGCTAAGGTCGGTTGGTCTCCTGGCCATGCCGAGGTGTGTAAATGCAGCATCCTCGACAACCTTGTCCAGAACAGGAGGCAAGGGTGGAAGACTGCTGGGAATGTCCTCCTCGGTCCATTTCGTGAGAGCGCCATGTGATGGAAGCTTGGCGAAGGTCGGCTCAAACTGCTGTGGTTGCTTCTTCAGCTCCTCATCTAATTGCTGTACCGACGCTGATACAGGCAGAACCGTCTTGGCCAGATTCCTCAGGGTCTTCTTTGTTTTGGCGTCCAAGTCCTGCGGCTTAAGGGATTTTTGCTCCTCCTTTCGCGTCTTCAGATTTTGAAAAATGTCGACGAACTTGTCTGCATCTCTAATGAGAAAAGCAACCGCCTTGTCAAGCTCTTCTTCGCTGACTCCGCTGCTGGTCCTGGCTCGCTTTTGTTCCGGCGATGCTTCCGCATCCGCCACGTCACCGGATGCCACCTCGTCAATAGGCCGTTTGGACATGATAATAATGCTAAAGTGTACTTTTAAGGTATGTTTTGAACATGGACCTCAGTTTTCACACGGTCAATATTCAGGGCTTCACAGCGGCACGTCGAGATGACCCACATGTGAAAATTCTGACCAATGGCACAACACCAGCCGACTGTAGGTGAAGACCGCATCATGCTCAAGCTGTCGCGCCTTCTATATCTGGGGAGGGACATAACCCAGAACGAAACGGCTTCTGAAAGGTCCTTTTCTGTGTCAATCTTCTGATTTTCAAGAGGGTCCTTCTAAGTCCATGCGATGTATGATCTTGCCATATTCTGCCTTTTCCTCATCGGTACGAGTTACCCTACAGTCACCATGCCTATTATGTGTTTAGTCTCTATACCGAACCTTCTCCTTTCCGCTAGGGATATGTGCCATGTCAATACACAGAGATCCCCCGTCTGCAATGAACAGACCAAGAGTTGAGGGCCAGCAACTCCTCGCTATTCTCAAGGGCAGCATGAGATGTTCGTATTGAAAAAGAGCGCGCCCTCGTCAATGGACTTCCTGCTGGCAGTGTTGAAGGTTCCGGGAATCAATAGCGCCAGGCTATTTGGACTGCCTGGATTTGACCCCTACCAGTGCTGGCGCGGGTGAGAACCATGCGTTGGACTTCAGGTTGAAGCCATGGTTCATATTGACTATAGTCCATGTTCTCTCGATGTGTTGGTCAACTCCTTCGGGCATCACACTGCTTTGCTACGCAGTCGTGCTCTCAAGCATACTCCATGAATCATCCACACTTCAACCCAGCCAGGTTAACTTCTTTTTTTTCTAGCATCATCGTCTTATACCCAGATTCACCATCAAAGACACGTTCCAATGCCCTTGGATTTACCCGTTTACCGGTACACAGACATCCACGCTAACGAGTCATGTACCACCCCAGACATCAACGTACCTCTCAACCGCCCATCTCCCCTGGGATCCTATCCAACCTCGGCGCCGATGGTGTAGTGGTTAGCATTATTGCCTTCCAAGCAATAGAGTCGGGTTCAATTCCCGATCGGCGCATATGTTTTGGTGTCCTGAACACAGTTCCTGATTTTACCAAGACGTACCGTTTTGCTTGTCTCCCGGATCTCGACTCCCAGGTCCTTGCTCTGTATGCTGACCTTCTGTTCGACATAGAGCTTTCCGGGCTAAGGTCTACGCAGTCTATCTCTTACGAAGCCCGGGACGTCTAGCTTGTCAGTTTGACCTCGAGCTCTTCCACAAGTAGGTGGAGAATGTGCACCAAATCTCTAGCTCATGTGGCATGATTAGGCTGACCAATCATAGTTTTCGGTCTATTAGTGTAGTGGTTAGCACGTGGGATTTTGATGCCCTCTCAGCTCATTTCAACTCTTCCCGAGTCGCAGGTTCGAGCCCTGCATAGACCTTGCCAAAATCATTCTACTTTTTGGTGGCATACTTGGCAAACGACATTATTCTTATGCTTCTCTTTTTGATGAGGCAATATAAAGACATGTTCATATACTCTTTGAGTGAGACATTTACTACGTGCACCAGTTCAAGAGAGCTCAGCTGGAGTAGTGAACGACCAGGGCAGATCAAGCGGAGTGACCACTGTCGAGCACTTATACAGCTTGGGGCATATCAGGAAACTCACAATGATATGATTCCCGAATGATCTATCCGTATCATCAAGCCAATAAGAACTAGAGCACAGGTCATTACTAGCCTAGAAGCTACGTACAGGTTCATCAGCTCGTCCATCCCCAAAACCAACGAATGACCCGGACCAATGACTATTCCCTCCGTGATATAAACACCTAGCAATGCATTGGTATAGTTCTTCGGTGATAAAATTTCCCCTCCAAAAACAACACGAGAAGGAAAAAACCACGACAAGGAAACCAAGGATGCGTTGTCCCTATCCAATCTCAATGAAGAGAAAGGAATCCAGGATAGCTACAGAGAGAACCAAGGCGAGGTATCCATAAGCTGGATTATTATGCCAAGCTCTTTCCTACTCCAAGGCTGTTGTCGAATGATGGAAAAAAGGCCGGGTGAGAGACCTGAAAGAAGTGAATTGATGCGACCATGTCGTGTTGGCGATGTCAAACATGGACTCGAAGTCTAACGTCGAAAGAGGGCCGGTAGAAGACCGGAAAGAAACGAATGGGTGCAACTCTGTCGCATATGTTGCTAAGCATGAACTCGTTGTTCTAATGACTGACGAAAAAGGGTCGATGTGGGAAGACCCGAAAGAGTGAAATGATACAACCCTGTTGTATTGGCGATATTAGGCGGGAACGCGGTGTCTAATTGTGATGAAGAGTTGGTCGAGGAGGTGATCTTAAGAGTCGAACTGCTGCAGATCGAGGAGAGAGTGAAGGCCGGCGGGCACCCATGTCTCGATTCAGCATGCAAGAGTCTGCTCGAAGTTTGTTGCCGAGGAGTAACTTGGAAAAATAAGAGCCTGAACGCCAAATTGAGCAAGGAACAAGAACAAGAAAAATGGGTTGGCCCATGTCACAAGAGAGGCAACCAAGACAGGACAAGTCAGGCTGCCATGCATGCGGCTTTGTTGTTGGTCGAGTGTTGAACTGGTGTTGGTCAAGGAATGAGTGAATCCAGGTGGGCACCCATGTCTTGACTCAATATGCGAGTACCTGCCCAAAGTTTGCTGCTGATACTGTGGAAGAACCAGGACCCCTGAACACCAGAATGACTTGAAAGAGAAACACAAAAACGAGGTTTGGCTGATACCACAAGATAGGCATCGAGACGGGCCCAAGCTGGGATGTCGTTCCTGCAGCTGTTTGTACAGCAGACAAAAGCACTGTGCTCGATGGCAACTATTTAGTGGTTGAAGGGGAAGCCAGCGTCGGGGTTGCCAAACATGTTACCCGTGAGCTCGTCGGCGGCTGCCACAGCATCCATGAGGGGGGTGATGGACACCTGCATGTCACCAGTCGGGCCATGAACAATGCTGGCATGATCGCCGCTACGACCTCCACTGCCATCATAGCCAGTCTTGAAGCTCTCATCGACACTGCCAATGGTCATGGCGTGGGTGGGCTGGATGTTCTCCGTCGAAGCCTGGCTTGACATGGTAGACAGCATGGGCGAGACCTGCATGGTGTTCGTGCGCACGCCAGAGTCGAAGAATGAGCCATCCGAGGCCTGGGAAAGACCACTGAACATGATGCTCGGGCTGTTGTTGATGTTCTGGTCGTAAGCATTGGCAGAATGGTACGAGTCATCTTGCTGGTGGAACATTCGGTGGATCTGGCTATGCGAAGGGCCATACTGCGTGCCGGACTGCATATTACGACAGCCTGATCCCCCAGCTGAGCTTGGAGGCGGCTTAGCATACATGCTGCTGTTGGAGGCCGGGGTAGGGGAGGACTGAGAATACGAGCTGAAGGCCAGCATGGGGTTGCGGTGGCTGGCTGGTGTCGCTGGAGTGTTTCTGGTCGTCCGACTGGCATGTCCGTGGCCAACCATCGACGTCAAACGCATCGTGTTGCTCAGCTTGGTATCCGGAGACTCCAAGGTGTCCCCGCCAAAAGAGGGCGGTTGCTCGAGGGTCGGGTATAGGCGCGCCATGTCGAACCCAATGGCAATACCACGCTTTTCACCATCCAGTCGAGCCTGGGTGAGCTCAACTTCATGGCGTGCCTCAATGGTCTTACGCTCACGCAGGTAAATCTCAACCTGCTTCTTGTAGAAGGCCAACTTCGCACCGACGTCGGCATCCAGGGTTGACTGAGGTGGGTTGGTGGGCTGAGTCAGGACGATGGAGCTCCTAGCTGTGGCAGCTGTGGTGGGCTGGCGAGGACCGGGCTTAGAGATTTCCTCGCGGGACAACTAGGAGGTCAGTTAGTTTCATTTGCGGCTGCAAGTAATCATGAAAACGTACCTTGAGAGCGAGCTGGAGGTCAGAGTCATCTTCATCATCGTCACCGAGCAGCGGATCAGGATAGCGAGAGGTTCTGTTGTAGTCCAGGGCAGGAACCTTGGTGGCCGGAGACAGGAATTGTTCTCGATTCTCATCATCCTCGACGAACTCTCTGTTTCCGTCTTCATCGGCAACCCAGTACCCAGGCAGACTCTCATCATGATCATCGCCCGGTTCGACGTCTGTCTCGTCATCGTCATACGTTGCATAGCTCGCCGCTGTCGAAGCCTTGCGTGATGATTGGCGTGTCTTCTTGGCAGACTCAGTAACGCCCATCTTTGCTGCATCGGGCTTACGCTTGCGAGTCGAATAGACATACTCCCCACCCATGTGGTAACGCTTCTCACTGCCGGTGAGGGATCTGTCGTTGTGGGCATTGGGAAGATTGAACTGACGGTCGAAAACGGGCTCACTCCAACGCACAGGGCGCGCAGACACACAGTCATGGCCCTCAGGAAAAGCACGAATGTAACCACGGATCTCAACGGGGACAGGTTTCTTAGAACCCTGCTTCTGGCAGATGGGTGGCACCAAGTGACCCTCGGCTAGCAGGGTTGAGCGCATGCGATTGAGGTGTTGCATAACAGCTTGTCCTGACGATCCAGGATGGAAGCGGTGTGCCACTAAGTCCCATGGGATAGCCACACCGTGGCGGTTCATCTCATATTGGAGGTGAAGCAACAGCTTCTCGTACATGCGGGGGCCTGGAAAAGTCAGCTGTCTACATCTTTTACGGCGACGGAAAAAGGATTGGGTGGATGGGGGAGACTTACGAGCCCAGTGAATGAGATTGCGACCATTCTGACGTCCGTTGTTGCTCCCCTTGTAAGGTACAGGGTTCTCATCAAAGTCCCATAAGATCAAGGCCGACCCCTTCTTGCGACCGGGTGGATGGACCAGCTGTCCAGACTTCACAGACGAGGGCGGCATTGGGGATGAGGACATGGCATGTCCGGGAGTCGAGGGGCCTGTCAAAGCCTGTGAGGCCTGGCCGACTAGAATGAGTTGACCAGATTCATTGCCGAGAGAGGCTGAATTGATGTCTGCATCAATGTCGAGCTCTTTCTTGACTTTGGGCTCTTCGTTTCTGCTAGAGTCATCTGCAGTCCCCTTCTTCGTCTTCGTGGTCACGCCCGCCTTGGCGGAAGGCTTTCTAGGGCCAACCATTGAGTCCTGTTGTTGATGAGATGTCAAGACTATGTGGTACTGAGAGCTAATTAGCTTGTGTTTCAGTTGGTCTGCCAGTGTGATGACTGAGTTAAATGTATGTAATGTGTTTGGTTTCAGTGTAAGAGGTGCTGAAAACAAGACTCGTTTGAAGGCTCGGTCAGGCAAGACCGTAAATGGTTATAACCCAAGAGACTCCAGTATAGTGTAGGACGAGGTCAGGGGGTGCTAATGATGTAGGAAGCTTCAGGTAAAGGGAGAGGGTTGGGGCTGATCTGGACGAATCTTTTGACGTACCTCAACAGTGATAGTGAAATATAAGACTGTCTAGTGATGCTCGGTATGTGTCTAACCGTGAGTCAATATAATAGCACAATAAGCATGATGTGGACAAGCTCGAAGCTGAAATTTGGGATAAACAATGCTGAACAGACACCCCAGGTAAGGAATAGTAGTGAATTTACTACTGACCGTTGTTCCCAATTGAGTTGGCGAGGAGGCACAAGACAAATGCTGTGAAGCTGGGACAAGAGAAAAGTGCTGAGAACCGAAGGTTAAATGATGGTAATAGACCAATCACCACCAGGCGCAGACCACAAGTGGTGAACAATAAACACTAGGAGAACCAAGTGAAATTAAGAACAATAAAACTGACGCGATTGTGAGGTGAAGCTTGACCGCGGTACCGTGGCAGTAGGCGCGTCCACAAGTGAACAGCCACAAATCCCCCAGATAAGCAAGTCGGGACCGCTCAACTGATGTTCCTCAGGACTCGAGCGGCTTTTCGTATCTCAAATGTCATCAGTAATGTCGATTATTGATAGACTTTGGAAGTCGGAATTATTGTGACAGTGATTGTTGTGGTCGGGTCAATAGGAACGGGATAGGATCGGGACGGTTGTGGTTATGGTCGGGTTGATTATGGGCTGTTGATTGTAGGTGAGATTTTGGAAGCTCAGCGTAGGCACTAGCTGGGTCGGGGGATAAACAAATCACCCGCCTCAGCAGCGGCCATTCTGGGTTCAGTGCCTCAGTCTTTGACACTGATAGCCTAGCTGTAAATCAGCTGCCAGCCAGCAGCTCAACCAACTGCAATCAGAGCACCTCACCCTGAAGTATTGACCCTGCCGCACCGTCTTGATCTCCTCTTTATAAGAGGGATCTCCTGCGCTTGGATATCCCAGCCTTACTGATGAGCCATGGTCATCTCCTAACTATGCTCCTAGATCTCTCGTTCATTTTGTAGTCTCCTTTGATGCAGAGGCAAGTCGATATGATCAAGAACGTCGATACCGCGTCTGTCTT